TAAAATATTTTATAATCAATATGTATTGTTTTTATAGGCAGAAAATATTTGTCATATTAAAATAGAATAAATATCTTTTTGTAAGGATTTCACAAGCTCATGTAGGAATTAGCCCTAGGAGTGAGCATGAATAAAATTGTTCTCCTTCCCCTACATAACACACCCTTTTCTCTCCTCTGAGTTTCAGGTTACCCTTACGAGAAATGAGCACTACACTGTACGTTAATGTAAAGCACTGAGCACGACAGACACTCCATATATCTTAGTTCTTTCCCCTTTACTGAACTACTGGAGGGCAGCCACTTTCATTCCACACTTAGGACTGAAAACCCTGAGTGATATCTCAGGGCCGTGAAAGTGTACTTGGGCACGCTCTCAGTGAGGCTTCAGGACGAGGTGATGTGGGCCTGCTGTGATGGACAAGGGGATGAGGTGCTCGGAAGGATGACAGTGGACCCCAAGGATGAGAAAGGACTAAGACAAATGAGGCCGGAGAAGCCAGGGAGGATTTCATGGGTGGTGCAGTGTTTCCTTCTCTTCAAAAACTGAGGCAAGGAATAGAAACGACACTCAGAGCAATTCCGAGCCAATAGCCCTGGCCCAGCCTTATGTCCCTGATGGACGAAGTCTTTCATGCTCACCCTTGCACATGCCTGAATCTACTTCCTCATCATTTCTCTTTTGCTCTTTGAGGTAAGCTTGACTTTTGCTGTAGTTTTTCCCTTTCCTATAGTAATTTTGACCTCCAAGAGGTCTGAAACTAGAATAAGGGTTTAGAAATCCTTTGCCTGTTGACATCCTGCTTCATAATGCCAAACGGCAGTGATGTGACTTACATAGATTCCAGAGGAATGAAGGCTGAGGTGTGCACCTGAGTATTAATTGATTTAGCTTTTAATATTAATGAGCCTATGATTTGGTCTAGTTGACCTTCAAATTCAAATTACGTACTGATTAAATAATAAGACAGGTGAATTTGGATTTGTTTAAACAGCACTCTCCCCTCCCCCAAGGAAAGTGCCTTGGCCTTGGCAGGGAATAAGGATGAGCTATGCGAATTATAGAGACAACTATAATAGGGATTCCTCCCTGATCTAAGGAGATTGCTTCCTAAGTAACTACAATGATAACCACAGTATCTGACATTGCCATGAGTTTTGCTCAAGTGTTTATATAGCCTGTCATTTGATTGCTTACGTGTTTATAATAGCTTTAACATAATGCATATGAGTCAGGTATGGTGGCGCATACTTATAGTCTCAGCACTCAAGAGGCTGAGGCAGGAGGATTGCAAGTTGGAGCATAGTCTGAGAGACTTTTGGACTTAGCAAGACCCTGTCTCAGAATTTAAAAAATGAAAAAGGGCTGAAGATGTAACTCAGGGTGAAGACCTCAGGATTGATTCCCAGTACTACAAAAAAGAAAAACAAAGCTTTACAATCTTTAACACTTGTACTCCTGGATTGGTTTTTAGGGATTTTAAGTACAAAATACATTAAATTAATAGAGTATTGTTACCAGCAGAGGAAAAATTCTTCAATAGACAAGTAGATGCCCTGGTTGACAAGTAACCTCAGAATGTCTATCAATTCACAGATATATTTTTCAGGTCAGCTAGACCTCAGAGTTAATTTCAGCTCAATTCTGGTTGTCACATGTTTGGCATCTACCCCATGGGGATGAGCATTCATCAGCATAACTCTCTCCTAGTATCTCGTTTTCCCAACTTGACTCCTGCTCACCTGATGGCTGTAGTGACTCATTGGGAACAGATATTTTCAGCAGACACTGTAGACATGGCAATTTTGCTCCTGGTCCATAAGCCAATCAGTTGTATCTCCTGTTAGCCCAGTTAACAGTTACATGGGGTGAGTGAGCCACAAGCACTGGTGTTTGGTTCCCAGTGAGAAATATGTCTGGAATATTTGAACAAAAGTGCTCCACAGAAGATGCCTCAGCTATAACAATTCTTCTTGGAATTCTTCAACTTTTCAGATAACTGTTCAGTTTTTAAAAATCTTATCCCTCCCCACCCCAACCCAAAGTGACAATAGTGTTCTCATTTTTGCTTGCTTGTTTTCAATCCCTACACTCTGGAAGCCACTAGTTTCTAGTGGAAATCAGTTAGTATGAAGGTAAATCCAGCCAACAAAAGCAAGCTGGAAATAGCTGAATAGTCCGCAAATGCCATGGGAGTTACATCAGAAAGAGAAAGCAGGGCTAGTCCAGAATATGGGTGATTCCAAAGGCCTAAGAGGATACTAGGTCAAGATCAAAGTCTGGAAAGAATGAGAACAAGGGTTCCTACAGGACCTTTGATCAGCAAAAATGTTCTGCCACTTAAACTGGAGAGTGTAATAAGCATTTCTATAAACGATCTTATAACTGCAGAGCTCTAAAATTGTCCCAGTGTCACCAAGAAGAAATATTTCTGCATGAAAGCTAATAATGGAGAATTTTGGAAATGAATCCTTAACACTTATAACTTCCTTTTAACCTCAACTTGACCTCAATCTTGGAGAATTTCAATGGAAAATTCTTTTCATTCTATGCCATGAATCTATCAGTCAAGATGACAGTTCCATAAGCATTAGACACTTGGTGAAAGCCTTGACTGATAATCAACTTTTTTAAAAAAAGAGCCTTATGTGAATGGCATTGTCAAAGAAAAAAGGCAAAAATCATATCTTATGTGTTCTATTCTTAATTGAAACTGGATTACATACTAATGTGGATATCAAAACATTTTTATTTTTCTAAATAAATAGGTTAATGAGTATTAACAACTTATCTTAGTAAACTCCTTACAACTTCACATTTAGCCCTATGAGAGAACTGCATTTGAGATACCTAATAGAATTCTTTGATGGAGTTACCAGTATTAAAAGTTTTATTTTAAGAAAAAGCCCTACAAGTATTTTCAAAATTGATCCTGGCACAAGCATTTAATGGTGTGGGAGCCTAAAAACATCAAGAAAAATTCCAAATAGTGTGCTTCTGCAAAGGTGTGATATCTCAAAACTAAACAACTCAACAGGAAAATCTCAGCTTGAAGCACTCAAATTAAATGATCTCTCTCTCTCTCTCTCTCTCATTTCTTAAAATATGCCATTTGACTTCACAACACTTTAAATTTTTACATAAGCTAAGTTATTGGAATGTCCAAGTTTTTTTTTTCTCAAAATGAACACCACTTTTTGTCTTTTCTTTCTGACACGATTATGATTATTTATCTCACTAAGATGACCTAGAGTTCAGAACCTCTGTGGATATTTGACACAAATTATATTTTTAGATATAGCAAATGGTTTTTATATTGGGGATACCAGAACACACATCTGCATAGTATGAAAGGAGGGACTCAGTTGAAAATTGGCAATGAACAAGCAAATGACCTCTCCAAATGACAGTGGTATGGTGGATACTGTGTTGGGCCAAGCACATCTCCTGTAGGAATGAAGAATTCAGTCTCCCAGGTGCAGGCAGACCTCATCCATCTCTGGATTCCAAGATTACACTCAAGGCTACACCCACTTCCCCAGGCAGCCAGCATGATGTATCCATGAGAAGTGTGAATGGTCTGGTTTTCTTACCCAATGGGAGCAGCTCAGGAGGGTCAAGCCATGTTTGGACCTCCTGTACAGTTAGCTGAGATACTTTTTCTGAGAACACACACAGTTTAACCTCTCCCTTGCTCCAGCTCCAATTTTGTCATTTTTCTATTAGATGGGATGAATTCCAGAGCTTTCTAAATAAACATCTGCTTCCTAATCTCCATCTCAATCTGTCTTGTGGAAAGTCCAGGCTACACAAGTGCCAGGTGGAACAGTCTAAATGACTGATGTATGTTATTGTACTCTGTGAGGTCAATACTACGTCCCCATTTTACAGAGAAGGCTGAAGCACACAGAGGTTCATCACTTGTCATTGCTTGCTCTCTCCTTATTCCTTATTCAAGTTACTTGTCAAAGGTCATTTAAATTCCCAGTTGCTGAGCCAGGATTTAAGCCCCAACCACATGGTCCCAGAATTCACATTCTTAGCAACTTCCCTCACCACATAAGCACTTGATTTAGGGAAAAATAAAAAAGTTACCAGGCAAAATGAAATGGAAATAATGATGTAAGTAGCTGAGCAATAAAACTCAAGACCACTTTGATTTTATAAACACTGGTTCAAAGAGTAGTGAGTGTCAACAGCAAATGTGGATCTATTTGCACATCAGACAAGTTGACAAGTGCATTCAACGTAGGTGTCTTAGGCTTCTGAGTACATTGCATGGTTTACCAGATGTCCATTTGTACAAATATAACAATCCAGTCTATCATTCACTCATAGTTACTAATGACAAATAAAAATAAGGTGACTTTATTGTGTAGAGACTTGCCAACTAATTCAGAGGTAGACAGAAAGGACTATTTTTTTAATCAGATAATTTTAAAAAACACTGGCATCTTTATGTCAATGTTCCCCTACTTGTTCTTCAAAATTTTTTCCCTATAAGAATCATTTTTATAATTTTCTTCTTCTTGGGATATTTGGGTCAGTAACATTTTCTCTTGGTAACTTTCCACTAAATAGAGAATGACAAACTTCCAAAAGATTTTTTCTGATGTTGCCTTTCAAACATTGCTTTCATGGACAGTAGAGGCTCTGGTAAGTGGTCTTCAATACTATTCTTTCAAATTGATTCCTGATGAATAGCTATAAACAGCAGAATTGACTAATTATTGTACCTCAAATAAACATCTTCTCTAGCCATAATTTCTCAGATAACTCTCTTATTTCATAAACAACTATTTTTTTGAGGAACAATGTAAATGTATGTATAAGTTCTAAAGAGGCTAGATATGGAATAAAACAGAATGGATGCAACTTTTGTGTTAAGAGAAATTTAAAAAGGTTTAGATTTGCTCACTGCTTCATTTTTCAATATAAACAAAACCCAAATGTTATACATTTAAGAGTCTGATTTTCAGATGTAGTAAGTGGCCTCATACCTTTATCTTTACAAACTTCAACTGTTTCTTCTGTACCAGGACTGGGAACAGTGGCGGTGTTGACACCATCTATATAGCAGAAAGGAAAGCTTGGAGTTAACATTGTCAAGCTGTGGCTTTCTGGCCCATTACTTCTCCCCCTGCTCCTCCAATGAAAGTATGATCTCCTTTCATGCTGCACTACACCCAGTGGTATTTGAAAGGGCTGGAGGGTTGTGATTCTTTTTTTTTTTTTTTTTGGTACCGGGGATTGAACTCGGGTCCTTGCGCTCTTTTTTTTATAATTAATGAAATAAAAACCTTCAGTTAAGATGAGAGACCAACAGACTATGATTTATTTTGGGGGAAAGAAAGCTATTAGTTGTTAGCAGTACACCAACATCCATGGTAGCATTTTGCTTTTTCCACAGTTCTCTAAGAATGGAATATTATTTGTCTTGGTAACAGATTGTGGAGGCAAAGATATCCTTGCAAGTTTCTGCAAAGTGCCATTATGCGTATAGGTTTGAAAGTTTGGCTTTTCTTAAGACAGCACTTCTGTGGGCTGCTGCAGTGCCAGGATGTGAGGCTGCAGGGGGGAGCTCTGTGGCTGCTGGTGCGGAGGCCCAGGAGAAAGGGATTATCCAGAAGAAGGCATCAAAGCTATTTTGGGAATTCGTGTTGCCAAGTTTACAATGGGCACCAAGGGTACGGAGATGCCTGTCCTCCTCACAGCACCAATTAGCCTCATCGGAGTTGATCTCACTTTTTGGTATCATCAGCACTACAGGGACTCTACTCATGTTTGGCCTCCAGGATGACAGATAATTAGCTTCTGACATTAAAACAGGACATTTAAGACATAAAACTTTATTAGAATTATTTGGAATTGTTAAATATCTGACAAATGAAAAAAGTATATATATATATATGTGTATATATATATATTTTCTAAAGCAGTACAGTCATGGAGCTAAGGATAACGCCTATTCACATGGTAAATGAGACACATTTAGAGGCAAATTCCAGGTCTTTTGGGTGTAATACATATGACTACAACCTTTAGGTCATGTCTCTACTGGAACTGAGAATAAAATTTTTAATTTTTAATTGGGGGGCTAACAGGAGATAATGAATCACTTTCTTTTGTTGGGTAGGAATTTTTCATTTTAAAGAAAACTATTAACCTTCTCTTCACGTCAAGATATCTTCCCACTTCTCCATTTCCTTTCATAGCAAAGTTGCCTAGCAGATATTATTGCTGCTGCCCTCTGCTTCTTCTTCTTTCTTTCTTTCATTTTCTTTCTCTTTCTTCCTTTCCTTTCCTTTCCTTTCCTTTCCTTTCCTTTCCGTTCCGTTTCGTTTCGTTTCGTTTCTTTTCTTTTCTTTTCTTTTCTTTCTTTCTTTCTTTCTTTCTTTCTTTCTTTCTTTCTTTCTTTCCTTCCTTCTTTCCTTCTTGTACTGGAAATTGAACTCAGAGCCTCATGCTTGCTAGGCAGGTACCATGTCGCTGAGCTACATCCCGGCCATGCTCTCCACTTCTTCACCCCATGAGGTCTCTGTAACTCACTCCAGTTGGTTTCTTCTCCACTTTCCCTGCAAGAATTCTTTTATCTGAGGGACCAGTCATCTTCCTTTGCATATTCAATTGTCATTCTCCTTTTTATTTCACTTGACTTCTCAGTAGCATTTCCTAGTCTTCAACTTAGTCTTCTTAGATGCTTCCTTGTGGTGGTTATGTTTTGTGTTACTCCAAATCTAGATGTTATGATGTCACAGTCCCATTGCCTTCATTATTTGCAAGTAATGCAACCAGTGAATCTCATATACTCCTATGATTTTAAGTCTTATTTATATGCCAATGAGTCCTAAAGTTGTATCTATAGTCCCCACCTAAACTTGGACATCTGGACTTGTGTATCTTACTAGTTTCATGACATCCCATATGGGTGGCTGAGAATCCTCTCAAATTTATTATATCTAAAACTGAAGCTTTAATTTTTTCAACAGAAATTGTGTCCTGTGTCCCATCTTCCATATATCAGTCAGTGGCACATGGTATCTATGCAGTTACAAATACTGAAAGCCTAGGGCTGAACCTGGATTCCTCTTTCCTAAGATACCTCATCCAGTCCTACAGCAGATCCTGCTGTCTCATGGCATGTCCCAGTCCTTTTGCCTCAGTTGTCAGAAACTGCCATCCCTGCCTGCCTCCAGTAGTCTTCCAGCTGGTCTCACTGGACTTTTCATCCATGTTAACTCATAGGCAATAATTTTCTAGTTTAATTGAAGTTAGATCATGTCACTGTGATACTTAAAATCTTCCATGGATTTCTCTTCGTTGTTCTAATAAAGTCAAATCTTACAAGATCAGACATGATCTGGTAATATGACCTCTTACCAAATAGCATAACATGCTCTCTGCTGAGCCTACCACACTGCAGTCACACTGGCTTTTCCCCAACTTTTAGCCCAAACTGATCTTGAGGCATTTCATTATTTGTTCCTCCATCTAGAGTACTTTCACCATCTATCATCAGACCTCATTTTACCTATCACTTCCTTAAGGAGTTCTCTCCAAATCCAACCAGTAGAAAGCTGCCTTCTGGGTATTCCTCCTATATTCCTTTATTTCTCTGTAAGGCACTTATCACTACATTGTAATTTTATCTGTTTTTACTTGTGAATTGTTTCAATCACCCAACCAGAATATAAACTTCAAAGAAATAGGGATGTTGTCTTTATTGTTTGCGGCTATACAGCCCATGCCCAAACAGAGCCTAGGATGCACTAAACCAGTGATGGTGAACCTTTTAGAGCTTTCAGTGATATAAAGAGTCCACTGCAACAGGTGTGCCATTGGTTCACCACCACTGCACTAAAGGCTTGGAACAGTTATTGACTTGACAAACATTATATCCAAATTGATGACAATATATCCATTATATCCAATTTGATTAGATTTGATTATGACAACATTTTAAACTTTTGAAGTATGCTATTTTGAGATTGTATTTTTTACGCTATCATATAGGCAAGGTCTGTAGAGTTATGCAATCAAAATTGGAAATGGAAAATTTGGTTGAATGAAAAGAAGATATTTTAATTTGGAAAAATAACAGCAGGTCCAAAAGGCTATAAGAATCAGAAGCATGTGTTCATTTTCTCTGCAGTCTGATTAGGGTGGCCATGAAATGACCCAAGTGCACATACCAATGTCTGATGACACCAGCTAAGTTCATAAATGAATCCTCCTGCTGGACCCTGTGCCAGCCAATGGGCTCACTTGGAAGAGCATGAGGAGCCGCTCAGGGGTGCAGCGAGAGGTCTTCTGCATTGAGAGGTACCCACATCAGATGTAAAATATAGAGAAAAGGGTATCCATTCTGACCACTCTATGTAAACAAGCAAGGCAATCCCAGATCCAAAATGACACTAGGTCTACTCAACTGAGTACGGGAAGAGGATGAATAATAAAACACAAGCAAATACATGTGCATGGATATACATGTGCGTATGTGTGTGTGCATGCATGCATGCATGCATGCATGTATAGACATAGAAAAATAAAAATGGTGTCAATAAAGACAGTTTGGGATAGAGTGGGAAGTGAATAAAACTCCTGAGCCCTCAACAGCCAAAGGATGGCCTCAGCTGTCAGCGGTTGGTTGACTAATACTTGTCAGCACCAAACAGTAATAACAATGACAGCTTTCCACACAAGACTTATCCTCAGTGGGGCATAATGATATGTGGGTTGGGGGCTGAACAGGTTGGATAACAACACTTTGCCGCATCAGAAATTCGTTTCATTGCAAGGCCTGCATTTCAGCAGAGGGAGCCAGCTGACCCCATAAGAGTAAGAGGTACACAAGGTCCTTGTCGCCTTGCTTCAGTGCTTTCTCTGATTGGCCTTCTTCAATTCTATCTTCCAGGTTAATAATAAAAGCATCCAGTTCCCTAGCAAAAGTTCCAAGGTTAATGTAGGAAGTTATCAGTGGAAAACTTATCTCTTTATCTGGTTTAATTCCAAGAGTTCAGCATATGGCCTAGGATGTGCCTGACACACATTAGACAGTGCCCAATATTTAAAAAATGCCCCTCAGTGGGGCTCATTAGAGTTGAGAGAATCACTTGGAAATTGAAGGGAAGAACGATGTTGTTATTTTGGTGGTTATGCTAGTACCTGCATGATTGTACCTATTATTCTTTTAAAGGCGAGTGTGCCCAAGTACAAAATTGGGTAGGAAGAGATGATAAATTAAAAGTGATGGAGGGCCAGGGATTTAGCTCAGTGGTTTCGCCGCCTGCTGAGCAAGCGCAAGGACAGGAGTTCGATCCCCGGTACCAAAAAAAAAAAAAAAGTGATGGAAACAAAGTTTCTGTAAATAGGGAAGGGTGGAGGGGGTGAAGGGAAGGCAGGGAAATAGGGAAAGAATAAGAACTAAGATACAGCATGTAAAGGTACAAGACACCAATGATGAATGTAACTATTTTATACCTAAAATGTACCAATAAACTTAATGAAAAAAAAGTGATTTCAATCCCTTTTGAGGCTTAAGTGCTATTTTATTTAAAAATGTTCATCTTATCATCTGAGGTGTAGAATCTATAAACATTCAGCTGCCATATCTGTCCTAGAGGACAAAAGTGATGTCAGGGTGATTTCTGATCTCACAGTTCTTAGAGGGAAGCAGTCAGGCTCTATGGCACCATCTCCTACAGCTTGGACAGAAATAACCAGAAGCGTGGCTCTGCAGCATCTAATGCAAAAAGAGTATAAATTTTAAAACTAGAACTCATTCTTTTCATTGTTCAGGGGAAAGCCTCTACTTCATTTCCTTTAAAGGCTTTTCATTTCATTTTTTCCTCTTCAAACTAAATCTACTAATTTTGGCCTGACTTAAGTTACCCAAGCTCCGATTTGGCACTTCCAATCTCTATCCACCCTTCTTAGTGCATTACCAAGGAAACTGTTATTGCAGGGGAAAAAATGGTTGGTGAATGAGACATTGAGTGAGAATGTATTATCATTCTACTTGGAAGCACAGTCAACTCATAGTTAACAGAATTAGAGATCTGAATGAACACTGGAGTTAATCAGGCAAAAAGGCATAAGCGTTTTCAGACAATAGCATTGAGAAAAGTTATTGTTCACCTCTGTGGATGAGGCCTAGGAGACTCCTCAAAAGAAATCTGAGCCCACCTGCTTCTTGGCTCTGCCCTTCAATTTCTTCTGCACTTTGCTTTTCCTCCGGACCATTCTCATCTTTCAAGAAAACCGCACAGGAAAAAAATACATCAAGTCAATTTATGAAATATTTCTTCATGGCTAATATGCAGCACTGAAATTAATTGCAACCAATGTAGCATGACTCCCCATAAAGCAAGGCAGAGAGATGAATCAGAGGCATGAAACAGAAAAATTACCTACATAAATAGGTGCATTTATACTCATCCCTTCTCACATGATTTGCTAGATGAAATGTTGGACTGTGGTAAACAAAATTCACTCAGCAGTCCTGGTAACATCTCTCTCTTTGCTTGGCATTTCCCCAAATGCAATACAAATTTAAAATCTAATCTGCTTTTCTCCTTTAACTCAAGTAACATGCACTGTGTCAGGAAGCTTGGCTGTTTGAGTTTTTATGCCTTTTATTTTTCTGTTTAATATATTATAAAAAAAGGTCTATTTTCACTTAATTTGTACATGACAGTCTAGCATACTCATGCTATGAAATATTTTGTCTTGAACACATTATATCGGTCTAAAATATAAGTGTGAAAAATAAATGGGCAGATGAAATGGAACCCATATATTAGCAATTATCTAAAATTCATTTTGCCTTTAAACATATTCTAAATATGTGAATTTATGGGTAGAAAAAAATAAGCTTTTCAAAGGTAAGTAGGTTCTGATTTTATAACTCCTTGTTAGGAGGGTCTCCAAATCACTGCTTGGAAAACAAAGCAAATAAGAATGATAAATTTATATGAGGTGACAAGAACAAAATATAAAACATGTGACTAAGTATAGAGAACAGAGAAGCAGAATTTACCAGCCTAGATTAAGAGGGGTTAAAGATGGTCATAAATCCTTTGCCTTTTAAGAAGTAGAGTCTGGGCCGGGATTTAGCTCAGTGGTTTTGCCGCCTGCTGTGCAAGCGCAAGAATCCGAGTTCGATCCCCGGTACCAAAAAGAAAAAAAGAAAGAAAGAAAAAAAAAAGAAGTACAGTCTGTCTGTTTGGTTCTCAATAATGTTGTGAATGCTTAGACCTAAGGAATGAGGTGGAAGGGATGCACTGGGACTATGAGCTGCCTTCAGAGGACTGGCAGCTTGTGCTTTCTCCTTTTGAAAAGCCAGCCACAGATGTAAAAATGTCTGGGCCAGCCTCCCAGGGAGACACAAGAGCCTGAGGTCAAGCTTGCAGCTGAATGGAGCTGCATGATAATTTTAGCCATTGCCACAGGAGCAGAAGAATCATCCAACTGAGCCCTTTTAAAATTTCTGACCTCCAAGCAGGCCAATTATGGACCCTGATCCTACTTAAGTGTTTTGACTCAAAGGCATCTGCTACTAAAATTGCTACTACTATTGGCAGAAACAAGAAGATGAAGAATCTCTAGAGGACACTTCTGTTAGGGAGAAGAAACCGACTCAGAAGCTATGAAAGAATATTCAATCAAGAAGCTCTGAAAAACTCAACTGTTGAAGAGAGTGTCAGATCTGAACACATTTGCATTTGACCTGAATGAAAGACAAAGTTTATAAGAAAATGATAAAAAAACAAGTGATTCTTTGAAGGTTTGGAGGAATATAGTCAGTGAGTACATAAGTATGTACAGAAAAACCTGTCTGCTCATCACTATGCCATTTGATATGAGGGACACAGAATAGTCTTTAATATGGGAATCTGGGTGACTCTGTATGCTCTTAGACTCATTGCTTTCAATGGCCTATTCACAAGGACCACAGGGCTGCCTGGCATTTTCTCTCTTGTAGTTCCTCCATATGGGGGGCAACACTGGCTTTTGCTCTAGGCAGGAAATAACCAACATGGCTGTTCTTGCTCCCTTAACAAGGCCAAGCTGGTACAGGAGTATGTGCCAAAAACTTCACCAATATTTCCCCCCTCCCTCCCACTGATTGGGTTGAGTCAAACTGGAGAAATCTGCCAACTTTTCCCCATCAGACAGACTTCATAACACAGATTTCATAATAGGTCTGAAGTCTGCAGATGACAGGTTGCCTTTAAAATTGGTCTGGTTACCTCACCTCTTACAGAGTGGGGATTGAGAAAAAGACAAACAAGGAAAGAAATAATTAAATCGAGGAAATGCAAGGAATTGGTTCCAGCAGTTTAAAATGCATAAAAAAGAAATTCATGGTCAGACTCCTAGATGCAACATACTAATAATAAAAACCAGTCTGGCTGTTTACCAAATGCACATGCTCCTGGGTTTCCTTTTCAGTAGGAAAACATGCCCTCCCTCTCCCTATTGTGGACTTCGGAGTAGCACACTTTTGTCTTACACTTTGCACCTTTGCTGCACAGTTTTCTACTTGCAGTATTTTTGCCCTTGGGAAACAAACTTGAGAACTTGACATGTTCATCACAGAGTAAATGCATCCTAGAAGCCCACTGGATTTGCCATTTGAGCAACATGCCTGCAGATGAAATGTCGGGTGTATTGTTTTCAATTTCCAAGACAGTGCATCCTCAAATCCAGCAGGGGGAACCAATGTAGAAGCCTTGCTTCCAATCCCAGCATATGCATTCTTGGACAATTAGATTGGCATTCATTTCACTCTCTTTTAGAGGACATTTTGTCTGGTTTAAAAGTTTCCATCCATTTTAAATGCCCCCAGTGGGTGAGTTCTTAGTGAAATAGTATACATCTACTGGTAGGGAACAAAAAAATCGCATTACTCAGTTACCCATAAGTATTTGATAAAGACATGATTTCCTTTTATCAATGTTGTCTGATTAGCTATCTTCACCAGAAGCACATAAACAATAAAAAGTTGCATAGAATTGGGCATATAATGTTGTAGTTTTTAGAAGGGATTTTAAAAGGCTTACAATAAATGTGAAGCAATATGTACAGGGAAGTGCCAACCTGTTTTGTTAGCTTAAAAATTTCACACAGATGCTTCATTCTAAATAGCTAAATTCTCCTAGCTAATACACCTCTAAGATCACATATTTATTTCAGATAATAAATTTCCATAGCATTTATGTTGAGTGTGATGTAACATTTTGTTTTCCAATCCTTATTTCTCCAGAATTAGTATTTTGACTCCCAATCTCAATTCGTATTTATTGAGCATACCCAATTTGCAAGAATATTTCATGAATTTTATAGAATTAACCTAAGAGACTTCTGCTTCAAAGTGAATCCTTATAAGCAGAAGGAATATACCATTCACTGTGCTATAAGAATCCAATCCATGCTTAATTCCATATGGGTGAGTTTTGCAGGAGCAAAATCTCAACATCATGGCTGTGAACTGCTAGCTTGATGTTTGTAGTTCTTTTCATGAGCTGTGCATGGAGATGAGAAGAGAAAGGGAAGTAAATCAGATTAAATCCATCATTGCTACTGGGGAACCAATTTAATATGTGTTGCCTACTAGAGTGTTTCTCTCTCTCCCTCCCTCCCTCCCTCTTTTTCTCCCTCTCTGGCTTCCTCCCTCTCCTTCTCCTTCCTTTCTTGTTTTAGGGCCATACCAGGGATTGAATCCAGGACCTCACACATGATACGCAAACACTCTACTACTGGGCTTCAATTCCATCCCTTGTTTGTTGAGTTTTTTGAGGCAGAGTCTTGCTTAGTTGCCCCATCTGGCCATAAACTTGTGATCCTCTTCCTTCAGCCTCCTGAGTAGCTGGGATTACAGGCCTTTTTCTGTAAAAGTCTCAAAGTTTCAGGCATAGAGGGAGTACAGACAGTTAAATATAGTGATTTTCAGGTTAGAGTCTTGGTCATAATTCTTCAATCCCCTGTGATAGCATTTCAGTGTATTTCAGTGTCCTCTCAGTGTGGGTAGAAAATACAGCTCACTGATGTTGGATTTGGCCCTTTTCCCTGCTGCAGAGAATGAAATGGTATTAATGAGATTTGAGCAAAGGACTTAAATGTGTTTCATGAGTGGATTGGTTGCTTGTGCTCCTGACATTTGCCATGGCAACAATATGCTTTGTGGATGCTGGTTTAAGGAGGATGAGAGATATGTGGAGTAGACCTGAACCCAAACTACAGTGTGGAGCCAGGCTCAGGAACAGCTTGAAATAGAACCATCCAGCTAAGCCCAGCCCACATCTGGTGAACCACAGCAAAGGCCTGTGAGAATGAGAATAAGCAAGTGGTTGTGAGGAAGGCATTTTGGAATGATTTATTATGCATCATTATTACTGGTGTAAGAAACTGGCAATAGCTGATTAATACAAATGATATGTTTCCTTTTTCTCAGGTCAGAGGGCTTCAAGTTTTTGTCTTTTTTTTTAAGTTAGCCCTGTTTTATGTGTAAGGTATTCAGTTTTTAATTTTGTATTCCCCTTATCTATATTTTCATTTCACACTTTCCAAAATTCTCTAGAAGATACAGATTTGAATATAAAATTATTTTACATAAGAGAGGAATGCTCCTAAAGAGTGTGCACTACCCATGATATAGTAATGTTTATATTTCATTTAACTTCATAGATGGGTGTAATGCAAGATGATATAGTTAATACCAGCTAGTAAGAATTGAATATTGCCTATATTCCACTCAATTTCTAAATGCTTTGCATAGGTTATTAAGTTTAATTTTCATAACAACCCCATAAAGTAAGTATTACTATTCACATTTCATGCGTCAGAAAACTGAGACACAAAGAGGTTGAGTAATTTGCCTAGGATTCCATGACAAGCAAGTAATAGTGACAAGGGCCTCTGATGCCAGGCCACCATGGCCTCCTTGGAAAATAGAACAAATATTTGTTGTAAGATAGCTAAAGTATCAGTCAGCAAAAATGTTGGAAATAATACTTAATAAAATAACCTGAAGAGCTAAGCTATAATTTCCTGTACATTTATTGAGTTAACAGAGAACATGAACATTGAGACTCAAACTCTTCTGACATTTATGCCAGATGGGTGCAATGGTACAATTCCAAAGATTAGGTTTTTAATGCTAGAGATATTTGTATACTTATAAATTATCTTATTTATTACATATTCATCTTATTATAAACACCGGTATATGTTTATACTACACTTGA